GGCCTTTAATTTATTTGTCATTTTTGTATTGTGTCGTCGCCTTTAAGCACACGCGAAAAGGCGACATGTGTTTTTGAGAAATAATAAAGCAGTCGTGAATAAAAGTTATCAGTAAACTAACTGAATAAAACATTGGTGCCGAAACCCGGGATAGTGATCCATAAAAGGGATAGTGATCCAGAAAAGGGATAGTGATCCAGAAAAAAAAATATAATTGCAAAACGTTAGACTCAGAAATTCACGAACTCAGCGACGGGGAGCAAGAAGGCGTGCAGAAAGGGTCTAAGAAACTGACGGAATTGAAGGCGTTGAGAGGCAGCACCAAAGGCAGCATCACTCGCATAAAATCAATGATTTTGAAAAAAGGGTCAAGTTTGTCAACAGAAGAACTTAACTGCAGGCTTAGTTTGACAGAAAATTACTTCAAACAGTTTCTGAGTGTGCAAGCAGATATCGATAAACTAAACCAAGGTGCAGATACTTCTTCAAGCGAAGCAATTACAGCAGAAGTTGAAGATGCATTTGTGGCCACGAAAGCAAAAATAATGAGTTTACTAAAAAAAAGAAAGTTATCACTGGTAGATGTCAATGCAACGAATACAACATCGTTATTGCCGGGCCCAAGAAGTCATCGGGAAGTAAAATTACCGAAATTTGAAGGGAAGTATAGCGAATTTCCGAAATTTATAGCCTTGTTTAATAAATTAATCAACCAGGATGAAATGCTTGATGACTGCGAACGATTTTTGATACTTAAAGAGCACTTGGGCTCTAAGCCGCTGGCAGCTATTGACGATTTTGATGTCACAGAGGACAATTACCCCAAAGCACTCGATCGATTGAAGGAATGCTTCGATAAAAAGGCGTTGATGTTCGAGGAACATATTACAGCCCTCTTTGCTGTCCCAAAATTAACAAAACCATCTGCAGTTCATTTAAGAAATGTATTAAATGCAGCGAATGCACATTTGAATGCAATGCTATCATTAGGTGATTACAAAGATATAGCGAATGCCATGTTAATTCATTTGGTGATGGAAAGAGTGGACGACGATTCACAGGTCAAATGGGAAGAATCAGTGGATTACAGGAAGCTGTCAACTTGGAATGAATGTTCAGCAGTTTTGACGAGGCGATGTGAGAACCTTGAGGCAAGGGAACATAAAGTTAATCAAGTGAATTCAAAGGCTGTAAACTATCAAAAAGAGTATAGAAATAACCGCAACTACAAGTTTAGAAAGCTTTCTTTAAAAGAACGCTTTATCGTAGCACGGAGAATAAAGGTATGTTTTACATGTTTGAAAAGGGGACACCTTCAAAAAGAATGCTCTGCTGTTAAATGCTCGAAATGTAATTTATCTCATCATCAACTTTTACATAAAGATTATATCTTGGAGCCAAATGAACAAAGATGCAAAAATTGGCCATCTACGTCAACACAGGAGACAGCTCAGTCATCAGTTATGAACGTAATGACTGAAAACGAGGTTTTTTTGGCAACAGCAGTAGTAATGGTAGCGGACAAGTTTGGCAAATATCACCAAATGCGAGCCATATTAGATTCTGGCTCTCAAGTAAATTTGATGTGTGAGAAAGTTACTCAAAAACTGTTATTAAAAAAAACGTCTTGTAAATTAGATGCTAGCTGTGTTGGAGACGTTGTAACTAGCTTTAAAACAAAAACTGTGGCTACCATCAAATCAAAAATAAATGAATTCGAAGTCAGTCTGCAATTTTATGTTTTACCGAAAATAACAAGCTCCAAACCTAATCGTTATGTCGATGTTGCGGACTGGAATTTACCAAAAAATATTCAAATGGCTGATCCAATGTTCAATAAGCCAGCGCGTATAGATATTTTAATTGGTGCGGAAATTTTCTTCGATTTGTTGTCGATTGGACGAATTTATCTTAATGAAAGGTTGCCAACCCTACAGAAATCCATACTAGGGTGGATAGTTGCAGGCAAAGCAGAAGAATGTTTAGCGCCTAGTCATAAAATAAATAATATGCTGGTCAATCACAACCATAATGAGAATGAAAACTTGAGTCAATTGGTTGAAAAATTCTGGAAAATAGAACAGATTTCAACTAAATCAAATTTTTTAACCGAAGAAGAAGAGGAATGCGAGAAAATTTTCCGTGAATCAATTCGTAGAGATACATCTGGCCGATTTATTACGAAAATTCCATTTAAAACAACAGTAAGTGATTTGGGTGGTTCCTATAATGCTGCAAAACGACGGTTGCTGTCACTAGAGCGTAGGTTGAGTAGAGATCGCTCTACACGAGACGCTTACAACGCATTTATGGATGAGTACCTCTCTTTAGGTCACATGACGATCGTTGAAGAAGCTGATATGAATAAGATAAAATATTTTGCACCGCATCAGTATGTGCTACGACCAGATTCCACGAGTACGAAACTTCGAGTTGTGTTCGATTGTAGCTGTAAAACTGACAGTGGCTTGTCATTAAATGAGGTAATGATGAAAGGACCACTGGTTCAAGATGATCTGTTATCTACATATAATACTGCGATTTAGATGTTACAAATATGCAATTACGGCAGATGTAACAAAAATGTATCGCCAAGCATGGGTGACTGATGATGATGCGAATTATCAAACGATTTTGTGGAGGTCTTCCTCAGATGAAAACATAAAGGCCTATCGCTTGCGAACCATTACTTATGGTACAACATCTGCCCCCTATTTAGCTACAAGATGCTTAAAACAGTTAAGTGAAGATCATATCGATAAATATCCGATTGGATCGAGAAAGGTGTTATCTGATTTTTATATGGATGATTTGATCAGTGGATCAAACGATGAAGATGAAATTTTTGAAATATATAATCAAGTATCAGCAATAATGAACTCAGCAAAATTTAAGTTAAGGAAGTGGTTTTCAAATAGTGAAAAATTTCTTAATTTCGTGCCTGAAGCTGATAAAGAAAAGACTCTTCGGATGAATAATGAGGAAATAATAAAAACTCTTGGTATCATCTGGGCTCCAGTGGGAGATACGTTTCGATACGTTTGGCCAGATTTTGATAGCTCGAAAGCGGTGACAAAAAGAATAGTGTTGTCGGAACTATCTAAGTTGTTTGATCCCCTTGGGCTTATTAACCCATTAATCGTAAAGGCGAAGATTTTCATGCAAGATTTGTGGAAATTGAAGGCTAATTGGGATGAAACCCTACCAATGAATTTACATAGTCAATGGATAGAATTCCGCGAAAATCTAAAAGACGTCAAGAAAATAAGTGTGCCTCGATTTGTTTTGGCAGAAAAACGAGTTGCTAGAGTTGAAATGCATGGATTTGCTGATGCATCAAAAAGAGCTTTCGGGTGTTGTATTTATATTCGCTCAATATGTGTGGACAACGACGTTACAATGCAGTTGTGGAGTGCTAAATCCAGAGTAGCGCCATTAAAAACTTTATCTTTACCAAAATTGGAACTTTTGGCTGCGGAATTGCTGTCGAAACTAGTGACAAAAACCAAATCCAATTTTCCAATTTCTATTGACGCGACCTATTTATGGGTGGATTCCGAAATTGTGCTAGATTGGCTGAGCGAGCACCCATCAAATTAGAACACATTTGTTGCCAACCGGGTATCATTGATTCAAGAGCAGACATAAACGTGTATTTGGCGGCATGTTCCTTCAAAGTCTAACCCAGCGGATATAATATCAAGAGGTGCGTATGTAGATGAACTATCTAATTCTATTTGGTTTGCAGGTCCTTCTTTCTTGAAGAGAGATTGTTGTGAGTGGCCACCAAATAAGTCTAGAAAGAATACTAATGCTGACCAAGAAAGGAGTCGTAATAGTACGATAATGACTGTTAATAATTTGAAAAAAAAAATACCTTATGACGCATGCTCTGAGGATAACTCGAAATCTTCTTTTGTGACGTGGGTTGAAACCTTCAGCGATTTTGAAAAATTACAAAGAATTTTTGCCAATCTTCTTGACTTCCGAAGAAGCGTTAAGTCTATGACGGAAAGATTAGATGAAGCACTAGTGCGTATATTCTACTGTGTGCAACAACATTATTTCAAAGAAGAAATTGAGCTGCTATTGAAGAATAGAGAATTGCCAGCAAACAGTAAATATAAAAATCTGAGCATTTTTGTAGAAGATACTTATGGTGTTCCGCTACTACGTGTTGGTGGGAGATTAGCGAAGGCTGCATTACCATATGATGCTAAACATCAAATTTTGTTACCGAATAACTCAGAAATAGTTTGCAGTTTTGTACGATTTCTTCATTTCAAATATTTGCATGCTGGTACGCAAGCGCTTATGGCTATAGTTAGGCAGCGATTTTGGATATTTCATGCTAGAGGAGTAATACGCAAAATTACTGGTAGTTGTCTACAATGCTTTAGATGCCATCCAAAATTGAGTAATCAGATTATGGGCGATTTACCCTCTTCTAGAGTCACCGTAGCGAGGCCATTCACTGTGACTGGAGTGGACTTTTGCGGCCCTATTACAACAACGTATCTACTTCGTGGGTACAGAACAACAAAAAGCTATATTGCTGTTTTTATTTGTTTTGCCACAAAAGCTGTGCATATGAAGGTGGTCTCTGATTTGACTGCAAAGGCTTTCCTGGCTTCATTAAAAAGATTTGTAGCTCGACGCGGCTTATGCTTAAAATTATTTTGCGACAATGCCACTAATTTTGTGGGTACTCGTAAAGAGCTCGAGGAAATGAAATGCAAGTTTTTTGATCAACAAGTACAGGGCAAGATTTCAAAATATTGTACTGCCAATAGTATTGAATTTCATCATATACCACCCAGATCCCCCACTTTGGTGGACTATGGGAAGCGGCTGTAAAATCAGCAAAATATCATTTGGCTAGAATATTGGGTCAATCGCATCTTACATTTGAAGAGCTGGCAACAGTGGTTGCGGAAGTAGAGGCAGTTTTAAATTCAAGACCTTTGACAACCTTGTCTAACGACCCAAATGATGAAAGCGTTCTTACACCGCCACATTTCTTAACAGGTGGTCCGTTGGTTGGAATTGTGGAACCTACTGTGGATAGCGAAGAATGGTCTCATAAAGATAGATGGCTACGAATTTCGGCCATACAACAACATTTTTGGAGAAGGTGGTCGGCGGAGTATCTTCATGAACTTCAACAGAAAGTCAAATGGACTAAGAAGCAGAAGAACCTTAATGAAGGTGATATGGTGTTAGTTGCAGAAGAAAATTTGCCTTCTAAGCAATGGCTTATTGGGAGAGTGCTGAAAGTGACAAGAGATGCTAAAGGTTGGGTTCGAGTTGCTGATGTAAAAACAAAGAATGGAGAGGTTCGCCGAGCAATCCATAAATTGGCACCTATTCCATCTGAATGTTGATGTCTGCTGGAGCCACCAAAGGCGGCGATATGTTTAGAATTAAGATTTATTGTATCATGGCCTTTAATTTATTTGTCATTTTTGTATTGTGTCGTCGCCTTTAAGCACACGCGAAAAGGCGACATGTGTTTTTGAGAAATAATAAAGCAGTCGTGAATAAAAGTTATCAGTAAACTAACTGAATAAAACAGGTATGTTCAATGGATTCCTTTGCATTTGGAACATATGTGGAATGCATTCGAACGTCTTTCATACAGAATGTGAGAAAATTGCTCATTTTCGCGCTTGAAATTTTATATGCAAGAATGAGCCATTCGCTACTCATTTTCGATTTTTGACCAAAATGAGCCATTTTCGGCCAATGTATACGCCATATTAGCCTAACTCGCACACGGCCATAATATGATTTATTCTTCTTTATTCTTTGCAATTCATTACAACTTATTTGTAAATGAATCAATATGAAGTTTTTCGCTGTTAATCATGATTCGTTATGACACTAGTATCAATTATATATCGCTTAAATAAATTCCGTCTGTTATCCAGTATACTCATTCTGAATGAATGTGCACATAATTAAATGTGTTATTGAGGGTGTTCTTTGTTGTTTCATAAAATAAAACAGTCAACGAAACCTTGTTATCATACGATCAAAAGTGTCTTCTATGACAATCCTTGCCTACGAATGCATTACATGCAAAACCGCAGATATGCAGAATCTTTTAAAAGAAAAGAATCGCTGGGAAATTTGTTTGGAAATTATACTGTATTATACAGGTGTTATCTACGCAAAACTCGACTGTCATGTCAGGAACAAGGCCCTCCAACATACACGTCTATAAGAAGACCATTTTCACCGCAAACTGGCTGCAAGAATAACCCATTTCGTACCTCCGTGCGGTGTAACGTACCTCCGTACTTTTGAAATTATTTAAAAATATTAAAAAGTAATTAATTCAATGTTTTCTATTTTTGTTACTTAGTTTGATATCATAATAATAAAAAAATACATATTTCGAACAGTTTTTATCTGTTCATGAGTTTACCTGGTCCGAAATAAAAAGTACCCAAAAAATGCTTTTTTTAATTAAATGAAAATTAAAAAATAAAAACTAATATATTTGTATAACATGTGTTCACAAAAGTCAAAATATAACTTTCATAATTTTTGCCGACGCCTTAGTAACAGTTACTTGCCACCAGACGCCGGCGAGAAAAGGCGTGTAGTAAACCACACGTTGGGTCCCATAGTACTATAATGATAAAATAATGCAATATAAATGTTTGTAGTTAGGTGATGAAATAGAATGAGAGTAATTTCTCTAATAAATATCATACTCTTCAAATTAACTTAAACTTATGTTATTTACTATGCATAATAAGTCTATTTTAATATTTAGGATGTGTGCGAATTATACTACTTAGTAAGCCATATAGTAACATTGAGCTTTTGGTCGTTTACATTATCACGAGATACTTAAGGAATGGGAAAGAGCTTTTATGAGTCAAAAAGATCTAGTTTTAGAGCTTTTGTTTGTTTACATTTTAATTGAAAACAGCTGACATAAATTTTGTATAGTTTAAAGAAAATAATTCAAAATAATAATATAGAAAAGAACATGCAATGATTTATAAAAAATTACAAATTATTCAAAATCATAAAATATTCAGTGATTACTAGAAACCAAAGAAATGCAGAACTTTGGTAAGTACAGGCAGTAAATATATTTAAATAAAGAATAAAATTAAACTGAATTCCTATTTTAGAAAAGAAAAAATTTTGAGAAGAGGACTGTTAAAAAAATTGTCCGTATGTCGGTTGTAAGAAGATAACGGGGGGCTTCAGAACGAGTTTGAACACTAAATAACCATATTCCAAATAGAACAGGTATAAGGCAATGTTTAATTCAAATTTTCAGTAAGTTTTATTTTAACTAATAGCTAATAATCAACACTAATAATAAACTAAAAATAAAAACAATAAAAAATATATACTAATATAAATATTTTTTATATAATTAGATTTTGTATAACGCTGGCAGTAACGGCGAGGATGGCTATCAGAAATACGAAGGTGTTGTTAATAGGCAAGTTCTCAAAAATTCTATACCCGTTATTGATAAACTTCCAGGATGACGGGGCCTCCATTGAAAACATCAATACTTTGCTAATCCTTTCTGTTTTAAAATAAAAGAGAAAGTTGTGAACATAATGCTTAATAACATATACCTACTATACATTA